ATATATATATATATATATATATATATATATATATATATATATATATATATAAATTGTACATGTACGCCATGGGGTTGAGAACTCTTCTCCCTAGCAATAAACGGTTTTGGGGGTACAGGGTACAAAAGCACATAAAATAACCGCTCTTACATCTCATGGCTACAGGGCATTGAGAAATGATGAGCACGTGCTTCCCTTGGCCAAACATCATGATAAGAAAGGCGCAAACAATTTGACAATTTAATGTGGCGACATCACAACCTGCGACCGCAAACTGGCCACGAGACTCGCTGACAACATTAGCCAGTGCAGAACAGCGAGCGAGGGAGCGGAGTCTATAATTATAATTCCATTACCATTACCAGGCGAAGGAGGCGCGAGTGGTGGCCAGCATCGGCGCAGGACTTTTAGGAGGAAAAAAGGAAACGAAAATGAACAGAGTGCGATTTGAAAGGTGCAGCAAGCTACCTTGCAGATCCTGTGTAGTCATGTCAAACACAATTGAAGTGGCGTAATTGTTGAAAAAGCAACCAAGCTAATGATGGCCACTTGAGAACTTGTCGAGAGACAAGGATAATGCGGGCTGCAGTTTCGAAGCGCAGCTAATGTGCGCGCGTCAAGCAGCAGGTGAATCAGTTGCTCTTCCCTTGAGCGAATGCGAATGCGGATGCCACAGCCGCAGCCGCAACCGATGCCAATGCCAATGCGGAAGTATGCGTTACTCGTTTGATTTGACGAATTGTTTACGAGCTCTCTGATGGCTCTAACCTGGCTACAGTGTCCTTATCTGACATTTTGTTTCATTTTACTCTATTTGTCTTCTTCACACACTTTCGACTCAAGCCACATACGTTTTATGACCCAAGTAGCATTTATTTAACGCACTCCAGCTGCACTCAGATTAGAATCTATAAGAATCATTAGCTCCGCAAGGCAGTGTATCATGTTATTCACCATTCAATTTAGTCACTAAATGCCATTGCATAAAAAACTCGGTTAATAGAATAAAACAGTTGTCAGTCTAAAGGACAATTTTGCATTTCAGTTTACCTTTTGATACTGTTTCTCTTGCCCTAAAGGAGAACGTCTTTGAACATCTACTCGATACCTCGATGGATAGATGCAGCACCTTATGCTGGCACTAGCATATTATTCATGCCCATAAGAATGTCAGCGGCTACTCGTTAACACCACGGGCGGCTTTTGTTGTGCTCTGAGATACGATATGGAGATCCACTTCGGAGAAACAGAAAAGTAACCTGTGTCCACTCAACTTGGTAGCTGTAAAGTTGTTAACTTTGGTTTTATTGCTACACAGTCGCCTACTGATCTTCGTTATGCTCCGAGACGTCCAATAGAAGTCCGGAATACAAGCCAAGTGCTCCGATTACATAAAATCAATTGTGGCCCATAGCAATTTTAATTAGCATTATTAACAATTGATTGCGCAGGGCTCGCAAGAGACAACTGGCCAGTTCACACACTGTAATTGACTTATTTCCGGCAACAGAGATATATTACTGATTCATAGATATTGCCCTTATGGGAACAATCAACTAACAATAAAAGCTCATTATGTAAATGTCACAGTTTTTGGCCACTTTTCGACGGAGCAGTTTTTCGGGAGCGCTACTGTTTGGTTCAATAGCTGTTTATCGATCCGCGGGTTTATGTATTTAATGAGCGGCCCACGAGGAAAGCAGGAAAACATTTTTAAATTTTTATTGCCTCACATTTGGTTTTAACCTGTTGTCGAGCGTTTTAAATGAGAACATAACTGCTTCTGTTGCCGGTGGCTGCCAATTAACCCTTTCCCATTGTTGCTCTTGTTGGGTTTGCCGCTTTTACGGTTTAATTGCGCGCACAGCGGTCAGAGTTGGCCACAAGAAACAGAGAAATCAATCTCGAAATGAGTTGACAAGCCTGGCTCATCGCGAAGATCTCGAGTTCAAGTTTGGCCGGGTGTATTTAAGTGAACCTTTAGGAAATTACCCATTAAAAATGGCTTTATTTAACAAGAGCAACGCCGAATTAGAGTCGAGCATATAAAGCGAACCAACCATATGAAACAAATGTTAAAGGTAAGAAGAGAAAATCTGAAACTGTCAACACATTAAATGGTGTCAAAGGCCCAAAGTTAGGAAAGCGGAAGACGACTAGACTTCCATATTCGGTCACATGACCACATTCTAATGACATCAAAGTTCCATTCAATTAATAAAAATAAACTGCCTGAAGGCTAACTAAATTAATATATTTAAACCAAGAAAGAGTTCTTCGCTTTGTTCAAGAATGATTTTCCAATGGATTTTATATAGATATTTACTTATGATTCGTGTGAGCGGTGGCAAGCGGCATGCTAAACAATCAATTTGTGGAACCTTCAAAACTGCTCCAGCTCTCTGTAGTTAAATAATTCAACATTAACCACAGTAGCCCGATCTCAATTAAAGCTTAAAATCGATATTCGTTGTCAGTAGCCCGATCTCAATTAAAGCTTAAAATCGATATTCGTTGTCAAATATTTGAAACTTCTAATCGTGTCAGACAACACCATTACCGCCATAAAAATATAAATCGCATCGATTGCTTTCTCATGCACGGGCAGATATGTTTGGGCTGCTTCTCATCTTGTCTGATTCTCCGACAATATCTTGATTTATGCCGAAAACGTGTAGCAACCGCAAAAACCAAAACACAAATCAAATGCTAGCAGCGCGACGAAACATTGCAATAGTTGAGTCTATACTAAGACGAGCTCGTTGAGCAGATTCAGTTCCTTTAGCTAACGCAGAAGCTGTTGCACATACTCGTATATCTGCAGGTAGGCGATACAAAAACCTCGAAACGAGCGCGAAATCCAAATGCCCAGGAAAGTGAACGGCGCGCGCGTTTTTTGTCGCGCCAAACTTAGCGAGTCGTTACAAAAAACGCTTCAGATCGGAAATCGAGAGATCGAATTGAAGATGGGTACGATCCTGATATTCCTGCTGCTGCATGCCTGCCTCATTTATATTTCGAACGCGAGCGTATAAAAATATTCTGTTGCCCGATCTGGCCTGGCCCAAAAGTGTCGCCCCCGGCTTATGATCGAGGCGATCACCGACCAACGATCGATATGTGCGTTCAACGTAAGCTGTCCACCAGTCCAAAAGTCGCAGCAGTCCATCAGTCCAGCGGTCCGTGGCAATCTGTGTTTGCTCAGAGAAGATACTTTTTACACAGCCAGGCATTCAGGCTGTCAGTCATAGTCATGCCTGATCATTCCGAAGTGGGACAACCAGGCTCAGAACAGAAGCTTGCTTCTACTGTGATTGCGACTGTGCTTGGACTTGCGCCTGCTGGCTGGGGTGCTGTTTGCTAGAAGGCAGGCCTTCACACTGTGCTGCATTCCTGACCACCAGTTTTCTTGTGCGAATCCTCAACGCCTTTTAGCATTGTTTATTAAGTGCAATGCCCCTCCTGCTTCAAGCCTTGCACGTGATACAATTATGGCAGTTTTTTTGCTAATGTCTAAATGTCTTCTCTTTTTTTTGCGGTCCCAAGCTGCGAATCATACGTTTCTCGCATATTTAACGTACTTTCCGTAGATTTATATTTTCACGAAGGACTTTGCTTTGCTTCTATTATAATGCTTAGAGACTACAGCTTCATCTTTCATATAATTCTGGATGAAGATCTCTAAGAACATTTGAATATATTGTCTACGGTTATATCCATGCACTGCAAAATAATTTACAAAATATTGGTCAAAAGGGTCCTCTAAACATTGATAACACGCCCATACTGTGATTTCATATAATGAATGCACTTCACACCTTGGCTTGGGCTCCCGTTTCTCCCGTGTTGGTAGTCCCTGATCTTACTCTTCTGCTTATAAATTCTGATCACAATGCTACCACGGCAAGGCACACTACAGCACCTCATTGCGATTTCAATGTCATTGTCGCCTTGCCAAGTGAGTATTGTACAATGGGGCAAAATGAATTTTAACTATCTGATTTTGCGAAAGACTTGACATCGATAATAATTTGTAATATCTTTCTTTCTTACTTTTATACTAATTACCAATTAATACAAAACTATGAATAATTCAATAATTTAAGAGCTTCAAGCAACTATACAAATTATAATAATCATCTAAATATTGTTTTGCAGAAAATATTTCTGTCAATTCATACTGTGTCAGGTCTCTGCGGTGGAGCCATGCACAAGAAGCTGTAGTTACCACCGCGGGCGATCGATAGTTATGGTCGTGTCAGACATCTTGTAATTTTGTACTTTGCAATGAAGTTTTGCGGTTGTTGGTGTTTTTGTTGTTGGCAACTTGTTGACACTTCGTTGGCGCGCAAGTTAATTAAAGATCGACTGACCACCGTCCCGACAAGGCAATCCAGGGACCACCAGGTAGCTCATTGAAAAACAACGCAAATGGTTATAGATGCTTCATTTTATACTATAGTAAAAATAATTTAAACAAGAATGGTCTAGTTCAAACCACTTAACTAACAGGTATCCCCATGAAGGCCTTTGCATTTTTCATTGTGTTTACTTATATTTACAGGTGTGTGAACATTTGAATACTCACAGCTAAAAATATTCCCGAATCTCGCATGCGTATGTCTTGCTACTGAACAAAAATTTGTATGTGTAAAATTACTATTATTTGACTCATTTGATTGCCTAGAAACGAAATTAAATAATTACAGCAACACATTTTGGTAGTAATTACATTTACACAGTTCGATTGTATTTTATTTCGATTAATTAGTTATCACGAATAGGTAGTCTAACATAAACATATTATTTTTTTAAAACTGGGACTCTTACTAGAATTAATTAAACGCAATCAGGCAGCCTTAGTTGACGACCTCAACGCTACAATCTTCCTCGTCATCCGCGACTTCCAGCTGGGATCTTGTCAGCGTAGCCGTATCTTCGGAGCTGACGTTACTGCTGTTGCTGTTGCTTTCGCTCGAGCTGGAGCTGGAATTTGAGCTGATGCATTCAACATTATCAGGCTTGGTCACACTTCCTTCCAAACTCGTCTGTGATTCACTGTTGAAACGGAATCGCTTCTCAGGCTTCTTCAATAGCTCCTCAATGGAATACGGATTTCTTTTGCGACTATTTTGACAGTTAGTCATCGTATCTGTAACGCCGGATGTAGCTGCACTTAAAGTCAACGCCACCGGCGATGATTTTCCTGAATCGCAATCACTCAAGGGATCGCCCATGGCGCACGGTTTGGTTAGATCAATTGAGCTTTCGGATTTTGTAAACCCACCGCCAACTGCACAGCTTCCTGCAGCAGCAGCCGCAACAGCGGCCATACTGGCTGCGCCATGCGGCACAAAGGCTCCACTATAGGGTAAAATCGGACCACCCGTTGCTGCTGCTTGGGCTGCCTGGGCTGCCTGCATGTGTGCTTGAGTGTAATAGAGCAGCGAAGGATTCCATAGCCAGTGCTTATGGAGTGCTGAGTAACTTAAGTCTAAGCCACCCAATTGACTGGACACGGCGGTTGCCAATCCATGACTAGGACTGTTTCCATGAGACGCAGGCAGCTTGGGCGCAGGTTTGAGAGGGAGCCCATCACCCAGCAATGACGGTGACGGTGACGCTTTAGTATAGCGTGTGTGCAAGCTTGATGTCGATGTAGTTGGCGTGCCAGAGGTGGGCGTCATTCGTGTAGCTGCGGCTGCTGAATTACTGGGGCTCGCATACAACTGGGTGGATGAAGAATAAGCACTAGGAGTGCCGCTGCCAGAAATTTGGTGAGCCGCTGCCACTGCTGCCGCAGCAGCTGCTGCATTCTGCTGACTGGAAGTCATTTCGTCTGTCCAGAGTCCACTATTACGCAATATACGATTAATAGAGCTAATCGAGGGTACTGAGCTAGGATCACAAACACGCTGTTGCTGTAGTTGTTCTCGTATTTCCCAAGCAAACATGCCGCTGTTCTCTTCCTTTAAGCGTATTATCTTCTTTACCACAGTTGGTGTAGCTACTTGCTGTTGAAGAAATGATAAGGAGAAAATCTGTGGCTTAGGCACTTGTCTCCGATTGATGCATATATTATATTCTAGGCATTAAATGCCGTGAAATTTTATTGTATAAAGCAATGTATCTGCAAATCTATTTTCAGATCGCCAAGGCCCTCAAGTACAAGAGCCGGTCGAGCACCACCCAGTGTAGTTGTTCTTTAATAGATATATATCAACTCGTGTTTTTTTAGCTATGTGTTAACTGCATATTTGCAATTTTAAAAGGTGCCCCGCCACAGTCAGCTCACTTAACGCTCACGTGTGACGCGGCAATTCATTAAAAATTCATAAATACATGAATATTTCATAGTCGCCCCTAAAATGGTCCAAACTTACATCAGAGATCTTATCGAATCATACACACGAAGGCGCTTTGTATGACCGGTCAACTAACCCCTGCTTTGGCCCCTAAGTCTGCTACGCCCTCAACAATCACCACCCTCCCTCCCCGACGCGTCTACCATCAGATCCCCAGGGTGACACTTCCATATGGACATGGATGTGGAGGTGTTAAATGCACGTTTTGTTCGAGCAAGTGTAGGCAGTTATTGAATCACCATATCACGCGCGAGGACAATGTGAAGTTCGGCTTACTTACTTATGGGTTAATTACGGGTTATATTTGAAGCTAGTGTGCTTGGAAACTAGTACAGCACATTTAAACATTTGTTTAACTTGAAGCTTATGTTGATATACGCAGGTCCTATGTAGCCCCACTATGCTTTTTATTATCACAATCTGCGTAGCCGTTGGCCCACGACCGTAGAGGTTACACAGTAGCTGCAGGTAGTTGATTGAGCGTGTGAAATTAAGCAACTGACGAAATCCAAGTGATGTGCTCCCGGTGATGACAAAAGCGTGTTATACCGTTATCAGCAGCAAATGGGATTGATTTGTTGCGCTCTACCTACACAGCAATCTCCCCGAATAGTCTAAAAAACCTGTCATCCAAAGAATATGTAAACTAGCTTTTTATCTGTGATACTTTATGGATTTACTGCTGTGCGTTTGATTTTTATACATATAATCGCATGTTGATTTCACGGGAGCACACATATGCCTATATCCCACGGACCCCGTTTTCCCCCCTATAAACATACCTTCGTTTTGCTGCCGCCAATAGATCCCGGCCGGATGGAACCTGTCTCATAGAAGCGCGTCAGAATTTTTGATACACATCCTACCAACCGGAGAAAGCCAAAAATCCTTTTAGTTGATTTTATTTCAATTTTAACCTTAACTTCCACACTCACCATGAGACACTAATAGTTGCCTGGATATGTCACAGGGCCTAACGCCACACAGCGCCAAATCCACGATGCGTCGTCGCACACAATCCGGCAATGGGCGCCCATTGACAAAGACTCCGCCCAACTGGTTGACACCCGCCTGACCTACAAAAGAGAAAAGAGATATTTGTAAGGAATTAAACAAAACAAAAAAAGGTTCAAAAACTAAAAGAGCAATGATGCCTCCATCTATGCTCAAATCAAAATAATTTCCATTCTCTTCTTAAAAACCATGCTTAAGTGTAGGCTACGCCAATTGAAGCAATACTGTCTTGCTCTAAATGCGATGTGCACTCAAACATAAGCAATCGTAACCACCGACCAACTCGATGTTTCTGTTAAAGCTGGCACACAATTTAACTTTTGTCGGATCCAACTCCTCGGGGCGTTGGTTACGAGTTTAATGAAGTGCGAATTTTATGTTTGCTGTCTCTTTTATGAAGAGCGAAACAGTTTTGCCCGAAGGGCTGGGGCTGCTCTTCAGCTGTCGTGATTATCACTATCCAAATAAGTATCGTAAGTTTTGTTTTTGGTTTGGGTTTCGGTATATGGTGTATTTTAGTGCTTGATCGCATTGAATGCTTTCATTGTAGCAGTTTTAGCTCATTAGGTAACATAAAAATGATCGACAACTCACCTGTGTGGGGCATTGCTGAAAACGCGCTTAACTCAAATTTTTATCAACTGTTTACAGTGAGTGGCGTCACCTGCGTGAGCTTTGTGATGTACGTCAATGAGTTCGGCACGAAGCTTTGCTTAATCGTCGAATTCTAATCAAATTTTAAGCAAGAACCCCATTAAACTAGTCGGCGAGTTGATGCTGGCTGCTCCCGATGCCGATGCCAATGCTGATGGTGATGCAGTTGATGAATGTTGCTGTTGGGATGTTGCTGCAGACCGTCGCCCAACAGAGCTAGTAGCTGAGGAGATGGGTTTTTTACGGCTTCCACGAAATCTCTGCAGACAGTTGTCAGCCGGGAATCAGATCAGTGAAAACTAGTAAGGAAAATACATAAAACTTAATTATTTCATAAAACCTCGAAGGCAGCAACATAAGACAATGCGTATATGGTAGAAGTCCTAGTTTTAAGATATACGGTAGAGTGGCCACTTAATGTTCAGTGGTTTATAGGCTGTGCCCAAATGCGTAGTACTTGGATTTTGTTGTATCTTAAATTAGCTGCTTATCAAGCACATTCTTGGCGCAGCGTGAACTAGCCTATTATCAGAATTGTTGGACTAAATAAAGCACATTGCATGTTTGGTCTGCTGAGGTAAAGGTTGAAAATATGCAAATGTATGAACCGGGCAACAATTAAAATAAATTTTGGCCAATTGCTCATTTGGTTAAAAACATACCAAAAATATGCAAATATAAAACCCGCCGACAGCAGAAACAGCAGCAGTAGTAGCAGGTCACCCCCACTGTGGTTTCCGCTTCCTGTCATTAGAATGAATGGGCAGGCAGTTTAACAGTGAACTCCCTGGTTAACCTGTCGCCAGCCTGTCACAGGCATGAAAATGCGCGCCGAAGAACCGTATAAATCAAAATATATAACTACCCCTTGGGTCCATAGTCTTCGTACTTTGTCATGCCCATGTTATTATGGAATTCACATTAGATTTAATTGCCCAAAGTCCTCAGGATTTGACTGCTTGGT